TAGTACTGCAGCCAGGAAGTGTCCTGCTTTGTAGTCCTAAAACCAGGAAGTGTCCTGCTTTGTAGTCCTAAAACCAGGAAGTGTCCTGTTTTGTAGTCCTAAAACCAGGAGGTGTCCTGCTGTGTAGTCCTAAAACCAGAATGTGTCCTGCTTTGTAGTCCTAAAACCAGGAAGTGTCCTGTTTTGTAGTCCTAAAACCAGGAAGTGTCCTTCTTTGGAGTCCTACAGCCAGGAAGTGTCCTGTTTTGTAGTCCTAAAATCAGGAAGTGTCTTTCTTTGGAGTCCTAAAACCAGGAAGTGTCCCGTTTTGTAGTCCTAAAATCAGGAAGTGTCCTTCTTTGTAGTCCTAAAATCAGGAAGTGTCCTTTGGAGTCCTAAAACCAGGAACTGTCCTGCTTTGTAGTACTACAGCCAAGAACTGTCCTGCTATTTAGTGCTACATCCAGGAAGTGTCCCAGTTTGTAGTCCTACAAAAGGAAGTGTCCCAGTTTGTAGTTTTAGACTCAGCTCACCCTGTTCCTACAGCCAGCCACCGGGTTGGGTTTAGCAGCCATCTCCTGTTGGACCCACAGAACATCCCATCAGATCCACCAACAGCAGAACCATCAGGATTTAAAGTAAATGTAGTTTGAGATGAAGAAAAGTCCAAACAGAGAAGCAGCTGGAATCACATCCAGTTTATCAGCATGTTTCTGATGTGTTGGAGATGGAACCATGAGCCAGACCCACTGAGGTGAACAGGTGGCTGGTTATCAGAGGGTGACATGAAGGTGACTGCTGGATGGAGGGTGGGGAGGGCCTTCCAGCTGCAGCTCCTCTGAGGAAGAACGTTCTTTAGACGTTCCTGATCTCCACCGTCCTCCTCCCTCCAGCGGTCCCACAATGGACCCTTTGTGTTCTGCAGAGACGTCACGGGTCAGGCGGAACCAGAGCCACTCGGCCCGCAGGAACAGGGTGAGTGTTTACCTCCATGATGTCACAGATTTATGTTGTTTATTCCGTTTGTTTACAGAAACAGGAAACACCTGTTGAGTGTACTACTATGATACTACTATAGTACTTTTCAATCATAACCCTGCATTGGTTATAGTACTTCAGCAAAAGCTGCTTTCTTGCATTGGAGTACTGCTGTAATACCTGTAATACAGTGACAGTCTTGGTACTATAGCAATACCTGTAATATTCTGTCAGTCATAGTACCGCAAAAATACCTGTTATATTCAAAAAGTACTGTTTCAATCATCAGAGTAGCTGTAGTACTGGATCAGTCACAATACTGCAGTAAAACTTCTTAAGTTTTATCTATAGTACTGCACCAGTACCTTTAATACTTCATATTGAATCATAGTACTGCAGTCCTACCTGTAGTACCTCAGGCTCTTTGTTACGTAGTGACTAACGAGGTCTAGACAGGTGGAGACACATGTCTCTACCGCATCCACAGTCCCTTATCACTGAACCTGAAAGCAGCCAATCAGAGCTCAGCACCTGCAGACCAGGGAGACACACCTGACTGAGACATGCATGTAGAATCCTGAACCCTGCAGAACCGGCCCTGAACTCCAGCAGACTCACGCTGAGCGCTGCCTTTGTTTATGTTTGACAGGTGAAGGACGACTGGAGACGGTGTCTGCTGGGGACAGGACCCAGAGCTGCACAGGACGGCCGGAGGGCAGCGGCAGGACATCATGCTGTGAGACCTTTGTCCTGCCTCACACGGACAAAGGTGTGTTTGTGGACAAACAGCAACTGAAGCTGGAAATGTCAATCTCACATGTTCACAGGTAAGATGAAGGTGTGACAGCAGGAATGTTCTCAG